TACATGGACCGATGGATGCAGGGACAAAACTGAAGGTCAAATTCAGGACTGGGGATATTTACCGTCGAGAACGTAGACGAATATTTAGGAAGGTAAACGATGAAGACGATAAGTTCAAATGTGAATGCGGTTCCGAGTGCGAAGACCGGGTTCATGTAGTTGTGGAATGTCGGTTGTACAAAAAGGAGAGGGAAGTGCACATGACCGAGCTGGGAAAAGTAGGAGGAAGATACATGGAGATGTTTGGGGCATGGAATAGCCAGGAGAAGACGGTAGCTGTACTGGGGCATAGGAAGTGGGTTGGAAGGCGGGGAGTGATATCGATAGGATAGATAGACTAGGACAGACATTTTCTATCCACCTTCGCCAAAGTCGGAAGAAAGGTTGGCCATCGGTGATCGGTCGTGGGGGAACAATGATCCGTCCTCTCGAGGACGTGTGGTCAATGGTCTAACCGCTAAGGCATGCAAAACATGAGAGTACGCCCCCCCCCCACCTTCCCTCGACGGCGACCCCCTCGACCCCGCACCGACGTTTGTTCCTGGTGGCAGCGCGCTGTACATAACTGGCAGCTCGCACGTGGCAGCCAAGGCAATGGTATGTACGACCATCTGTGCCACATCGGCCGGTCTGGGCGTCACCTCCGCAAGCTTGGTCTTGTTTCAACACGTGGAACCCCAGGATGTTGTCAACGGCGTGAGTGGGAGTCACCTAAGAATGCCTTGAGGGTAATCGAGAGTGTTACTGTACCCTGCGTCTTGTGCCTGGCTACCTTTGGTGGCGTTTTTTTGTTGCTTGTGGCGGGTAGGCCCTCTGCAACAGTCGAAATCGTCGGGAGCGTGAACAACCCCTTTCGCTACGCTAAAACAGTTGCCTTCGTCTTCATTTTCGGTAGATTTGTATTCTGAGAGACAGACTCTGTTTCTTGTGCTCGTTTTCTCGCTCATGACGGAGGTTTTTTTCTCGAGATTGGCCATTGGCACATTTGGGTTAATCAAATAGACGCGCTTGTTTAAGTCTGCCCGAAGCAAACTTCTTCTACAGGCTAGACAACAGTTCCCGTAACTCTGCTCCAATTGCAAAGCGAAATATATATGTGGAGCGCTTTTTTGGGGTCCTGCAAAAGGTCGGCACCATGCGTTACAGTGTCTAACCCTCCGCCACCCCCGCCACGTTGCTTCTTCCTCTATGGGCCCTCCAATGCTTGTTCACCCCTTTGGCGGAAACTATTGGAATGTACTTGGCGTCGTCCTTCTCAGATACTCTCAGGGCTCGTTGCCATATCAGGTGCGGCAAGTTTCTTTTTTGTCAGCTTTGAGTCTCAACAAGTCAAACCTTGCTCTACGGTCGGTAACAAGCAATTCAGTGCCCAGAGAAGATCGAGATTCCGTGGGATTCGTTTCCTGGTAACTCGAAGTATAGACCGTAAAGGTGTTGTTCTTGGGAGGGGCACAAACAACATTCACTCGTAAAGCGGAATGGTAAGGAATAAGTAGACAAGATAGATGAGACCCTTGAGAACCCGCACCTGGACGCCAGGATCGAACGAACTACACCCCATCGCACCAAAGGTAGAATATGCAGGAGCTGTATGACAAGGAGCACGTAAGTCTGGGAAATAGCCAGAAACAGTACAAGGTACTGCAGCCGCTCTAGATATGCAGTGAGAACGAGCAGCACGGCGTACCAAATGAAACTCTAATGGGTTTGAGGAAATTTAAACCGACGATACAATGTAGTCGGTCAAATACACGAAGGACATTTACAGGTCACAGCAATCAGAGAGGTATGCTAACGTACACTGGTACCATACAATAATTGAAAAAGAGACGCGGGTACAGCTGGAATGGCATGGTATTACTAGGTTTTGAGAAACCCGAAAGAAAATTGGAGAGGTGTTTGCGGCAAGAATATTTTGGGGGATACAAAGGAAGACACACAGTGAGGAACACCTGGAGATTAACGGGAAGTTGCAAGCACAAAATATACAAGCGTTTGTCGCTATGGTCCGATGTACAACATAATAGTCATTTTCGAGTAGGGGACCTCGACTTGGTCGCAGGAGAGGGAGAAATAGTACGAAGGAGGACGAGGTTACGAACACCTGCCTATCTATGCGGCAAGGCTACAAGAGAGTCGACTTCACACATCATCTTAGCACGTGAACTGTAACAAAAGGGAGGGGAGCCCCTGAAGGAGAGGTACAAAACAAAGATGGACGTGACAGGACTGTGAGATTGGAATATATCATTTAGTAAGCGAGAGGACAGCCGCTTTACCGTAAGGCAAGCAGCACGTGAGAAGGATCCCCCGCACCCTCCACCAGCCGATGCAAGATCGCTGCCCGCCGCGACGACGCCACACACGCGCGAGCGCGCCCTCAGCGACTGCTGTCGACTGAAAAACCGTGAATCCACCGTAGTATCGCCCTTTAACGTACATACATACGAAAACAGCGAGCTGTGCCGTCGTGGAGGTGGAAGGAGCGTTCTTCATTGGCCTTGTCTCAGCCGTGATCTACCTTGGGTGCTCTCGATTCATGGACATAGTGCGAATCGACGACATGGTGAGCAGAGTGTGATAACTGGAGGCATGTTTTGGTGGGAAAGGGATACGCACAGAGTGCTGACTGTGTCCCTGTACTTTTAGTCGATTGGAGAAGCCGTCGGAAGTGCTCCCAAAATCAGGCGGTCACAGCGAACCCAGCTTTTCCCACGAACAAAATTCTCGTCGTTTTCAAGTCGTTTTGGTTCGGGTACAGGTGAATGTGTCCTTCATTTTCGCGCTCGTTTTTCAATGACTCCTTTAGGTGGACGCGGCACCAGTGCACCTGGCTAACGGCGTGTGGGGGGTGATCGCCGCTGGCCTTTTCGCGTCACAGGAGGGATACAGCGCGTCCTACTATGCTGATCGAAGCGAACAGTGAGCATACAGTAGTGGCGCTCTCATTTCTGTTGATCCTAGACACCCACGATCGCCAGACGTCGAAGAGATGACGGTGTGCTGAACAGGTTCAAAGCAAAACACAACACCTGCTGGATGTGTGCAACCTGGAGAGGTTTAAAAACGTGTGGTTTTACAAATCATTTGGTGTCTGGTGTTCTGTCGATTGCAGATGCTGCGGGTGGCTGTACGGCTGCGGAACGGCCCAGATCCTGGCCAACCTCTCCTTCGTTCTATCCATATTGTGCTGGGTAGGCCTGATGACGTTCATGGCTGGGTTTAGTCTGAAATACGTGGGACTGCTGCGTATTAGGTGAGTATCTTCAAACGCAATAGGGCTTACGGGTGTCCCACCAAGTATATGAAAGCGTCTTCCTCCTGGTGGGCAGGGATGTCGTGACTGGGGGGCGTTGTGTCAAGTCTTGGCCTCATGCAGCATTTGCTGCAAAAAATAACACTTCAGTCTCATTGAAACATCGTTGAAAACGCTGCCATGTGATTGTGTCTGCACGCGCCCTGCGCTGTTTGGTACCACTCGGTGCTTGTCGTTCGAAGGCCGCTCGCCCAGCGTTTCGAAAGAGACGATATCAGGCACAATGGCCGACTGCTCAACGTTCGTGCACGTGGTGTCGTGAAGGGTTCGGGCCGCACGTTCACATTGGGTGTGCAACATGAAGTAGCGCAACGCCACGCTGCAACAAAACTAGTAGATAGAGCTTTCGTACGACGCTGCGAACAGAGGCCTGTACGAACCGGGCGCTCGCTCCCTCCCGACCTCCGTGCAAGAGCAACACGCTTTTTGTCTTTCCCGAAACCATTGTGCATGTCAGTGAGGAATCGGAACGGTTTGGAGCGGACGCACAGCACGGTTACAGACGTGTAGAACTACCGGACATCGTGAGGAAGGTGCTGTCTCAAGTAGAAGGCCTCGTGGCAAAGGCTGCCGACGAACGTGATCCACCATCGTTCGTGTCGAGCAATTCCGGCAGGAAGTCCAAACGAAAACGCCCAGAGACTTGACGAGGGAAGCTGAATGACTGCGAAGAAGGTGAGTGACTGTATGTCATTGAACCGCTGTCTGCAACCACCAAGGCACGAGAAATGTGGACGTATTGACGTCTGGTAAGACCTGACGCCCGGCTTGACGGGTAGCCTGTTGGACGACCAAGTAATCGTCGTACCATTTCGACGAGGAAACGTGATCGCGTAGTCTTGGATACTTTTGCGCTACCGAGGTGATCGACACGATTCAATTCGGGCAACCTAAAAACACAGTGTGCATTCGTTGAAGAAGATGAGACGAGCGTGCAATTTCAGAGCCACAGGGTACGTGTGTGTGCAGCTCTGACGGGGAAGCAGAATACTGAGGAGGTTTCGTTGTCCCAGCCTTGGCCATCCTCAGGGGGCCTTCCCATGCCACGATCTGGGTGTGGTGTAATCGCCGGGCAATGTTGCCTCTCAAGGCCCTCATGATTGGTTGATACCGGGTGGGACCAAGCCCCCCTTGCTTTCCGATTGTCTCTCGAACTGCCCTCTTGCACCGCCATATATCGCAGGAGGGATTACCACGCCTCAACGTTCCTGAGCGAGTGATATCATTCCTGGACCAAAAGCATTGTTGCGCAATGTGGGTTCGGCGAAAGAAGGAAAGCCAACAGCGGGAAGAGAGGCAATTGAAGGGAAGGGAACGATTGGGTAGGGTGGGGAGGGGAAGCAGAACCACCATGTTGTATTCACAATTAATGGCAAGAGCTTCTTGTGTGTAGACCGGCTCGACGGTTTGTCGTTGTTGTTTGTTGTCCGGACTTAGGTTGAAGCCCTGGCTCCAGAGACGTGCTCGTTTTTCTATTTCGCATGTCAGCCGTGGGGGGAGCGTAAGTCTTTGGTTGTAGATGTGCAACATGAATCCTTTCAAGATAGCTTTGTCGTTGAACAAATTTCCTGGAAATTGTGGTTCTCTTCAACACCATTTTCGTTGAGAATCCCAGAAGGTTTCGCGTTGATCTCGTAGTCGGGGCGAGGTTTTGAGCTGAAGACTGCGTTTTCGTAACCATGGGGCTGGCGTTGCGTGTGGGGCCATGAGATGTCTATCGAACACCCCGATCGCAAGCAAACATCTACAGCTCACGAAAGCGGCTTGTTGTGTGTGTATGGTCGGAGGTCCTCCATGATACTAGACGTGGTGTGGCGGTTGAACAGCGTGGAACAGCTAATTATTGACTAGCAGACAGTCGGTGAATGGAGAGTCTACAGAGCGAGCGGTTGGTGATTCTAAATACTCAGTTTTATTTGATAAGAAACAAGTAGATCTAGAGCCGTTGAGAGGAGTTGCAGTCTGTTTTTCCTTTCGTTTGGAATTATTATGTTTTACGTTGTTTGCTCTTCGCCGGTGTTTGTTTTCCTTTTTCTTCAGGTATCTGTGTCCGTCCCGAGCTTATGCGCGCCCCTGAGGAAAGTGTGTAAACTCGTTGGCCTCGAACCTTCAATCAATGCGTTGTTTCTGTCCTGGCCTGTATCCTCATTGATGGGTGTTGGTTCACCTACAGCAGTAGTATACCGTTAACGCAGCTAGCTGTCTCCTACCCACACTCCTAGCGAGGGTTCATGTGTCTGTTAGGCGACCAAACCGGCAAAGAGCTCCTTGGCAAAGTAGGGAAGCGTGGAGATGCTGCCAATAGGACGAAACGTGTTTCGCCCTCTTTCTTTGTAAATCCTCAGAACCGCGCACTTTTTTGCCAAACCTCCGAGGAGAGAGAGATCCCCCGATTGGCCGACCTGCGCTGTCCTTCACTACTTTCCTTCTTTTTCGGGCGATGTCGCGGCGACAAAAGGCTATCTGTCACGGAATATTGATACATACAGCATTTTCATATTTTTGAAGTTTCGTCGTCAAAACAATGGATGACATTTTTCTCAGAGAGTGTTCTTGGACCCGAGGAGCCGGTTCGCAGGGTATCTGTCGATTGACTTTTACCAGAATCGGTATACGTTCGTTCGCAATCTCTGATGACATACATTTTCTTTTTTTTCACGTCCAAGTGACCTCTATCGTGTGCTCGACGACCTGAAGGCATTCGGGGCCGACCACGGATCTACAAAAACCGATCCATGTTATTATCTCGGAATCCCGGTACCGAAAGACACGGCACCGAAGTTAAAGTGGACGGAAGCCGCGAAGGTGGAGGGGGGAGTACCCTGGCATGCGGCGGTGCTGCAGGGGAAAGCTGAGAGGTTCATGACCTCCTGGCACGAGAAGGAAGAAGAGGCCAGCCGACAACGAACGCTCAAACGAAAGCACAAGCCAACAACCAATGGGGCGGGAGGGGGGCAGGAGACGGATGAGACGGCGAGGGAAGAAAACAAACGAGAAGAGACGGACCGAGTGGCACGATACGTGCCGGATTGAATTTCTTTTAGCCAATTCCCCCCTCCCAACGCTGCACCATTGCACCAACCCCCCAGTAGTGGTGACGTACCATTACAATTGTACAAGGTATCGCTATTAATAGTTGATGGCCATGTTTGCGTGTTTGCTTGTTCGTTAGTGGTCTCTACACCGTGTGCCTGTTTCTGCCTCTTATTTCGTGTTATTTTCGGCCTGGTCCCTTTTTTTTGTCCTCACTCTTTTTCATCTTATTTTCATTTTTTTTTTCTCTTTTTCTTACTGTTTCCTTTTTATTTTATTTTTCTCTCTTTTTCTCTCTTTTTCTCTCTCTTTTTCTCTCTTTTTTTTCTCTTTTTCTGTGCCAGATGGCCTTGCCTCTGCTTGCGTTGTGAAGTACCAAGATTGAACCAAGGGGGTGTACCTCTTTCTCTCCGGCCCATGATAGTGACTCCTAGTCTCAGTTGATACCTCGCGTAGCGCGCAGAGGGAGTGGAGGACTCCAGAATATCTGTCGTTGATTATGATTGACTTGCGGACCCCTCGGGGCCAGTTTATTTGAGTGTACCTTTTTAGGGTAAGTTAACCTGTGACCACGGGAATCGACCGCGTCGAGTGTTGGATCAGTACGGACATACTATGCGAAGGTACTGGGTAGAGAGAGATCGAAACGGTTTTGAATGTGATGAAGACAACAACAACAACAACAACAACAACAACAACATTGTACGCGGAGAGTATGCTGGCAGAAATTCCGCAAGTTGTTGTCGAGAGAAAGTGGCCGTTCCAGTATGTTTTTCCCATGAAAAATGCTTGTTGACTTCACTAACTTCGTATGTAGTAGACTATCTATGTTGTCGTATCGTCTAATTATTTCACCAGCCCTCATCGCTCGCTATGGATAACAACCCGCATGCATCATCTCCGCCCTCTTCGAGAGCATGGCGGAGGGTACTCGAAGCATACCCGTCAAACCTTCACTTCAACACCCTACTTCTTGGTTCCCACATCATGATGCTGCAGGGATGTAGGGGTACCTCTTCGGGCTTGTGTACCCTTTTCTGGCTAGGTTGCGTGTTCTTTGGATCTTCTGATGATGGCTCTAGCATTTTTGTGACCACGGACCGCGTCTTTGCTAGATTTTGGGATTAGTAACTGACACGAGTTTAATGTGAAGACAACAACAGCAATTGATCGGTGATCCGTCATGCGTCATCAGGCATCAGTCATCAGGGTCGCCCCGCCGTCCCATTGGGTGGCGGCGGGCCAATCGTTGGCCTACAATGTAGTGGAATGCAGTAGTAGTTCTCCCGAACCGTAACGTAGACCAAGTGCATACATGAGTTAGGCCGCGTACGGCCTCTACCTTGCTGTTTTGGAACAAATAGACTCTGTATCGATCCCGCACACCTGCTCTCCACACCACGAGCACAAATGAGACACGGAAGTGCTGCACAGGAGGAGTTGCCTCCATTGCATGCACCACACAAACGGCATGCCTTCCACTAGGGACGCTTTTCGCCGAAGGTCACGAACTGCTGTCGGTGATCGGGTCTTCCGGGGTTTGTTGTGGGTGCTGACGGCATGACGGCATTATCCGGAGATACGCTCTGCGAGTATGCCGCCGACTGCAACGAAAACCAGCAATGCATCGACACAAGGTATCCGAAAATCTACCCAAGGGTTGTTCCCATCAAGGGTTTGATGTCTCCTATATGTATGTGTGGGCACGCCGTCATTGGGCGTCGCATCTCATTTGCATACAAATCCGCTGTAGACTAGACAGGAGAGGGGTAAATGAGCCGCGGGTGACGACTCAATGCAGTAATCTATCTGCGATGCTGTGCAAGGTTCGAGACAGGCAGCAACGCAGCAACCCAGTACGCGCAATTCAGGTACAGTGGGGGCCCCGGTGTAGCGACCCCCTGTTTAGCGACATGCCCTCTTTAGCGACCCCAAAATCTCGAGACACCGCTGCACCCCGGTTTATTAGCGACCACATGGTCGCTATAGCTAAACCGGTCGACCCCACCATACCGACTATTGAGCTGTTTTCAGCGAGCAATAGCGACCATCGCCGGTGGTTCAAATTTTGCGGAAACCCCGCGTTCCTCCACACACGAAAACACATACCAGGTACAGATGCTTTGGTGCTTACAGCATGTAGCACCAACTGGTATCACTGATACAAATGGTCGGTGTAGACTTGAACACATCCCCTTTGACTAAATACTGCTGTGGTTATATCTCGAACGTATAGTCTTTCTGTGTTTGTTTTTATTTTTCCTAAAAACACAACCCCGCGGGACACGCACACACACACAACATGCCTTGCGCCAATCGATGGAGTCTTGGCAGTGCGGGGGGTGGGAAAGTGATGGCGCCGCCGCCCTACTCGGAGCTTTCGTCGCATTTTGGATCGCTAGAAGAGTGTATGGAGTTGTGCGGGTTAAGCGAGAGCAGCAGCGTACCACTTCGCAAGGCAAATATACTGTTTATTGAAGCACACGCCGCGAAACAAGCACTAGCAGCATGAGGCTCTTTGCCGCTTGGGCATTCACGAACTTTCTGCGTGCCATGTAGGGGCGTTTGTATTTTTGTATTTAGGGGACGTTGCCATGTTTTTTTTCCTTTCCCG